GCTTTCTTCTTTGGCAGCAATTCGGCGGCAGGTCCTTCCCTCCGAGAGCGACAGGGACCCGCCGCCGAATTGCCGCCGAAGAGCCCGACGTGCCGCCCCTTCCCCTTGGCCGTCCCAAGCACCTGCTTGCTCAACTGGTGCCTGGAGCCGGCCCTGCCCTGGCTGTAGCGGGCCGCAGCCCCTCTGAGCCCCAGCTCCCCTCCACCGCCCACTCTGCATAGTTGGGCTCTGAGTCCTTGAGTCTTTGCCCCCCGGATGCTCTCCCTGCCCCCCTGCAGTGTAGGGGGGAGCTCCCGGCAGGGACGGAGCAGGCTTCATTTCTTCTTCTTGCCCCGTCGGCCCCGCTGCTGGCCTGCCCCCCCCTCGCGCCTCTTCTCCCAGGTGGGCATGGGGGGCTCGATCTCATTGGGGCGGCCCCCTCGGTCTGGGACGCCGCCCATCAGCACCTGTCAGGGGGACGGGGGGGGAAAAACAGGAGCAGAGGTAAAAGGTAAGAGAGACACCCAGTCCCCCGTACTCCGCCCACCCCGAAAGGGAGCTAACGGGGGGTGGGAAGGGCCCAGCACCCGGCCCTGCCGGATCTGTGGTCCTGGTGTGATGCAAGAGGAGGGGGTCTCGTGCCCCGGCAGAGAAGCCCCCCCCCCCCCACTCCGCAGGCTGCTCTGCATGGGGGAGGGGCTTTGTAACCAGACCCAGCAGCGTGTTCGTCTCCCCCCTGGCCCGGGCGCTGCCCGTACCTTGTTGATGGCACAGCTGGTCCGGTGGCGGCAGCGCCCGCTGCTGGTGCTGACAATGCGCGAGGCGTCCGCGCGGGTGGCCAGCAGCCGGGCCAGGGTGACGCCGGAGGCGACCGACTCAGCCTGCCGCAGCGGGGAGACGGCTGCCAGCAGGGCGGAGCCCTGGGCCTGTGGGGGGAAAAATCACTCCCTGTTAGCTGGCATCGGCCCCGGCCCCTCCTCAGCATCAGCAGCTCCAGACAGGAGCCGGCGCCCCCTAGAGGGGAGAGGCCCCATGTTCCATCCCCCCCGTCCCCAGCCAGCCAGTCCCTGCCCTGGGGTAGGGTTGCCAGGTACTGGTTTAAAGGGACCCTGGTGACTCCCGTCAGCACCACTGACCAGGCCGTTGAAAGTCCGGTCAGAGGGGCTAAGGCAGGCTGCCTGCCTGCCCTGGCTCTGTGTGGCTCCCAGAAGCAGCGGCACATCCCCTCTCCGGCTCCTACGCACAGGGGAAGTCAGGGGACTCTGCACACTGCCCCCGACTCAAGTGCCGGCTCTGCAGCTCCCATTGGCTGGGAACCATGGCCAATGGGAGCTGTGGGGCAGCACCTGCAGACGGGGCAGCATGCGGAGCCCCCTGGCCGCGCCTCCGCGTAGGAGCCAGAGGGGGGACATGCCGCTGCTTCTGGGAGCTGCATGAGGTAAAAGTTCTACCCGGAACCTGCACCCCAAACCCCCTCCCGAACCCCAACCCCCTGCCCTGATCCCCCTCCCACCCACCAAACCCCTCAATCCCAGTCTGGAGCCCCCTCCTGCACCCCAAACCCCTCATCCCCAGCCCCACCCCAGAATCTGCACCCCCAGCCAGAGCCTGTACCCCTTCCCACACCCCAACCTCCTGCCCTAGCCCGGAGCCCCCTCCCGCACCCTGAACCCCTCATTTCTGGCCCCACCCCGGAACCCACACCCCCAGCCAGAGCCCGTACCTCCTCCCACACCCCAACCCCCTGCCTCAGCCCAGAGCCCCCTCCACCCCCGTGCCCGGAACCCTCTCCTGCACCCCACATCCCTCATTTCTGGCCCCACCCCAGAACCCACACCTCCAGCCCAGAGCCCGTACCCCCTCCCGCACCCCAACCCCTTGAGCCAGCCTGGTGAAAATGAGGGAGGGAGGGGGATGGAGTGAGCGGGGGCGGGGCCTCAGAGAAGGGGCGGGGCAGGGGTGTTCGGTTTTGTGGAAGTAGAAAGTTGGCAGCCCTACCCTGGAGCCGGAGCCCCCTAGAGGGGAAAGGCCCCATGCCCCATTCCTTGGCGCCAGCCAGGCCTCTCCGCTCACTGGAATTCCCCCAGCCCCCGAGCCCTCACCTTCGCCCTCTCGGACCAGTGGAAGGACTGCAGGGTGACGTTGAAGCGCGTGATCATCATGCGCTTGCGGCATTCGTACTCGGCACACAGGGCTTGCCGGATCCCCTCCAGCGCCTCCTAGCCGGGAGGGATAGAGAGCGCCGCTCAGCCACAGGCCGCCAGAAAGCCACGCCCCCCCCCCAGCCCCGCTGCACTGGCCCCCTCAAGGGGAGAAACTGAGGCACAGGGAGGGGTGCTACCTGTCCCAAGCCAAATAGGGAGGCAGGGGCGGGGAACCCAGGAATCCTGACTCCCAGCCCCCCTCCCCACCCCACACGACCCCACTCCCCTGCCAGGGATCGAACCCAGGTCTGTTAAGAGCTCTATGCAATGGGGCTGTGCAGGGTGGGTCAGGCACCGGGATTCAATCAGGGGCCTAACTCTCTTTGGCTGCTTTTGAACCCTGCAGCCCAGGCCGGGACCCAGGCCCGGCCCTGAGCCAGGAGCAGAGCCACAGGTTCTGCGCTGCACCCCCCCGACCCGGCCTGGGCCCCCCCCCCCGCCCCCACCCCCGAGCTGTCAGCGGCGCCCTCAGCAGCGGCGCCATCTCCTGGTGGCCGGCGGGCAGCGCGGACAGGGCCTCCGCTACCTAGGAGGGAGAGCACAAGTTCAGCGGGGAGACGCGGCGCGGACACCGTGGCTAGGGAAGGACGACGCCTGCCGGGCGGCTCCCCGCACCACGGGGGCCCGGCAGCCCCAGACACCACCAGGGGCTTGTCGCCCTGCAGCTGGGGTGCCTTGTTTATTCACTGTCCGGCACTGGTGCCTCGGAGCTGCAGCCAAGCCCCTGCCCTGAGGACGGAGCGGGTCTGGCACCCCCTAGAGGGGACAGGCCCCGTGCCCCATTCCCTGCCCCCCTGAGCCAGCCGGTCCCCCGCCATGGTGCCGGATCGGGGCCAGCGCCCCCTAGAGGGGAAAGGCCCCGTGCCCCAGGCTCCCAGAAGCTCCCCCGACAATCGGCGCCTCTGACTCCTCACCTTGGATTTTAGGTCCTCCAGGAGCTGGGGGATGGGGCAGGTCGGGGCCGGCTCCGGCCTGCCCAGCGCCTGGTTGATGAGCCGCAGCTCCTGCCGGGCAGCGCCGGCCCCCACTCCCTGCCGCGGCGAAGGGGGGCGTTTCCAGCTCAGGAGCCGGGCGGCCTGGAGCTCCGAGCTCAGGAAGTCTTGGGAGAGAACACGGGGTGAGAGAGACACTGGCTCTTCCGGCTGCGGCTGGTGGGGGCGCTCTGGGCACCAGGGCCAGCCCGGCCCAGGGTGTCAGACATGTGCCAGCCCTCTGGAGATGGGATCTTTATCTGGTCCAGACTCCTGCATTCTATTCTCCTCTCCGCTCCCCTCCCAGAGCTGGGATAGAACCCAGGAGTCCTGGATCCCCCCCTCCCCCGACTCCACTCCCCTGGGAGAATTGGGAATAGGACCCAGGAGTCCTAGCTACCCCCTCTCCTCCAACCACTAGACCCCACTCCTCTGGGAGAGTTGGGAATAGGACCCAGGAGTCCTGGCTCCCAGCCCTGCCGTTCAGAGGCCCCACAGGCTGCTCCGTCTGAGTAGCGAGGGCCTTTCCCGCCGTCACCTACACAGCAGCTGGAGGCAGAGGTGGGCGCTGCCCAGGCGGGCGGTCACGTCCCCCGTGGTGAGCGCGGCGTAGGGGCAGTGCAGCTCCTGCAGCAACCCGCTCAGCTCAATCTGGAAGGTCTCGGCATCTTCGGGGCCTGCGGAACAGGAGAGACCGATGAATCCCTGGGCCCCGACGCGCTGCCCCCCTGCCCGGCCAACACCCCACTCCTGGAGCCACCTTTGGAGTCCTGGAGCCGTCCTTTGTAGGTGACAAATCTGAGGAATTGTCACAGATTGAAGTGTCGTTTGAGGAGGTTTTGTAATTAATTGATAAACTTAAAAGTAACAAGTCACCGGGACCAGATGGCATTCACCCAAGAGTTCTGAAAGAACTATTAACTAGGGTTTGTAACCTGGTCCTTTAAATCAGCTTTTGTACCCAAGGACTGGAAGATAGCTAATGTAACGCCAATATTTAAAAAGGGCCCTAGAGATGATCCCGGCAATTACAGACCGGGAAGTCGAACGTCAGGACCGGGCAAATTAGTCAAAACAATAGTAAAGAATAAAATTGTCAGACACATAGAAGAGCATAAATTGTTGGGCAAAAGTCAACATGGTTCCTGTAAAGGGAAATCATGTCTTACTAATCTATTAGAGTTCTTTGAAGGGGTCAACAAACATGTGGACAAGGGGGATCCAGTGGACATAGTGTACTTAGATTTCCAGAAAGCCTTTGACAAGGTCCCTTACCAAAGGCTCTTACGTAAATTAAGTTGTCATGGGATAAGAGGGAAGATCCTTTCATGGATTGAGAACTGGTTAAAAGACAGGGAACAAAGGGTAGGAATAAATGGTAAATTTTCAGGATGGAGAGGGGGGTAACTAGTGGTGTTCCCCAAGGGTCAGTCCTAGGACCAATCCTATTCAACTTATTCATAAATGATCTGGAGAAAGGGGTAAACAGTGAAGTGGCAAAGTTTGCAGACGATACTAAACTGCTCAAGATAGTTAAGACCAAAGCCGACTGTGAAGAACTTCAAAAAGATCTCACAAAACTAAGTGATTGGGCAACAAAATGGCAAATGAAATTTAATGTGGATAAATGTAAAGTAATGCACATTGGGAAAAATAACCCCAACTATACATACAATATGATGGGGGCTAATTTAGCTACAACTAATCAGGAAAGAGATCATTGTGGATAGTTCTCTGAAGACGTCCACACAGTGTGCAGCGGCAGTCAAAAAAGCAAACAGGATGTTAGGAATCATTAAAAAGGGGATAGAGAAGAAGACGGAGAATATCTTATTGCCCTTCTATAAATCAATGGTACGCCCACATCTCGAATACTGCGTACAGATGTGGTCTCCTCATCTCAAAAAAAGATATACTGGCACTAGAAAAGGTTCAGAGAAGGGCAACGAAAATGATTAGGGGTTTGGAAGGGTCCCATATGAGGAGAGATTAATAAGCTTGGAAAAGAGGAGACTAAGGGGGGATATGATAGTGGTATATAAAATCATGAGTGGTGTGGAGAAAGTGAATAAGGAAAAGTTATTTACTTGTTCCCATAAAATAAGAACTCGGGGCCACCAAATGAAATTAATGGGCAGCAGGTTTAAAACAAATAAAAGGAAGTTGTTCTTCACACAGCGCACAGTCAACCTGTGGAACTCCTTGCCTGAGGAGGTTGTGATGGCTACGACTAGAACAGGGTTTAAAAGAGAACTGGATCAATTCATGGAGGTTAAGTCCATTAATGGCTATTAGCCAGGATGGGTAAGGAATGGTGTCCCTAGCCTCTGTTTGTCAGAGGGTGGAGATGGATGGCAGGAGAGAGATCACTTGATCATTGCCTGTTAGGTTCACTCCCTCTGGGGCACCTGGCATTGGTCACTGTTGTCAGACAGGATACTGGGCTGGATGGACCTTTGGTCTAACCCAGTATGGCCATTCTTATGTTCATAACCCCGGCCTCCTCAGGAGGGAACGCCCCAGGGCAGGGGGTGGGGAATGGGGCATAGAGCCTTTCCCCCTAGGGGGCGCTGGCTCCCATCCAGCCCCAGGGCAAGGGACTGGCTGGCTTGGGGGGGCGGGAGGGAGGGAATGGGATTATTCTTGTAATAAACTGTTGGATCACTAACTGGGGCATATCTGCCTGCATGACATCCTGCTGCAGCCAGTTCCGCAGGTTGACTCCTCTCTCTCTCTGACAGATCTGTGTCCCCCATAATCATAGCATCTGAGCACCCCAGAGTGTATCTATTCTCACAACCCCGCTGGGGGGCAGAGCAGAGCTATTATCCCTATTGCACAGATGGGGAAACTGAGGCACAGAGAGACTAGGTGTCTTGGCCAAGGTCACACAGGGAGTCTGTGGCAGGGCAGGGAACCAATACCAGGTCTCTGACCACTGGGCTACACTTCCTCCCCAGGGAGTAATTACGCTGCCGGAATGATTAATTATTGAGTGATAACGAACACAGAGGACCTGGCTGGGAGTGGAGCTCCCTTGTCACTCCGGGGTTGGTGTTAGGCATGTTACCTGTGTCACAGCATCACCAGGGCCCATGGAGGAAAGGCCCCGTGTCCCACTCCCCATCCCCGGCCAGTCAGTCCCCTCCCTCCTCATTTCCCTGCAGGTAACTCACCGCTGGTGGGACTGACATCCTCCTCCAGGGGGCAGAGGGCTCGGAGCTCCGCCACCAGCTGGGCGCAGAGCCCGGTGAACTCGGGGCTCTGCACCCCGGCCTCGGCCAGGCGCAGAAAGTTCTCCTCGGAGAGCGACCCCAGGGACCTGAGCACACGGGGCAGGGGTCAGTGCGCCACAGCCTCCCCCACAGACCTGGCAGCCCAGCCCAGATCTGGCCAACAGCTCCCCCTGCCAGTGTGCCAGGCCCCCCACCCCCCAACTCTTCCCCAAAGTTGCACCTATTCCCCCCCCCACTGCACCCACCTCCCTGTTCATCCTGGAACATTTAGCTTTCCCTGCTCCCCACCATCCATCCCCCCAGCACCCCAGAGCCTTGGCACCCACCCCTTCCTCCCACGCACCCCCAGAGCCTCTGCACCCCCCCCCCCCCCGCCTGCTCAGGCCCCAGATCCCAGCCCCCTGCTCCCACATCCCCCCAACTATGTACCCTCCACACCCCCTTCTCCCACGCCCCCACACCCTCCGCTACTGCTGCCCTGCTCCCGTGCACACCCCCCTGTACCCCGTACCCAGCCGCCCTGCGCTCCATGGCCGGGACCCGCCCGGCTCAGGCCCCAAGTTCAAAGTCTCCAGCAGGGCGCAGCCCAGCCACGCACGGGCCCCGCCCGCTCTGAACCCCGATTGGCTCAGGGACGGAATGGGCGGGGCTCGGGAGGCTAAGAAGCTGATTGGCTGAAGCTAGAATAACGCCCCCCCAGCCAATGAGAGCCTCCCTTTTCGCTATCACCCGCCCCCCCAGCCAATGAGAGCCTCCCTTTTCGCTATCACCCGCCTCCCAGCCAATC